CTCTCTCTCTCTCTCTCTCTCTCTCTCTCTCTCTCTCTCTCTCTCTCTCTCTCTCTCTCTCTCTCTCTCTCTCTCTCTCTCTCTTTCTGTGAATGTGTGCCCCGTTCGTTACTTCTGCTGCAGGTTTTGGCAATGTGCAATGCACCCGCTACAGAGTACAAATGTGTGTTCACAGCGGGAGCCACAGCAGCCCTTAAGCTGGTGGGAGAAACCTTCCCGTGGAGCTTGGAGAGTTATTTCCTTTATACGCAGGAGAACCATAACAGTGTTCTTGGAATCAGACAGTATCCTGTGTTGCTCATCAATTGCTTACACCCTAGTCATCCTTGTTGCCTCCCCAGCGCCACTATAATCACCTTCCGTGCTTTGTGACATCTGCTTAGCTGTCTCTATGGCCTCCTTTATTTTCCTCCTCCTCCTCCTTCTCCTCGTCCTCCCCCCCCCCCCTCCTCCTCCTCTCCTTCCGCCTTCTCCCCCTCGTCCTCCACCATCCATCCTCCTGCTCCTCCTCCTCCTCCTCCTCTCCCTCCTCGTCCTCCAGCACCTCCTTCAGCCCCCTTCCTGTGTGTAAGAGTGGCTGTTGCTCGCGGTTGTTCTGTTGATCTCCCCAGTCTGGCATATCACACACGGGTGCCGTTTGCGAGTGTTGCTCAAATAGTAGAGTCTTCAGGTCACATGTCATAGATCATGGGTCCGAGTCTGGCTTGGGACTTTGGGGGGGTTCTTGTCCAGCTTGGCCTGTCATCTCTTCAAAACGAACACATAGTTCCCTCTACATAGTAGTGCACATATCTGGCCTTCGGGCATATACATCTCGCTATACAGTTACACAGAGCACATACATAGCCTTCAGGCAGACACAAACACGGCTCGTGAACATATATACACATAGCCTACGGGCTCATACAAACATACATAGCCTCTGGGCACATCTATATATGCACAACTATGATACCGGGCTGGCTGGGGGTCTATCAGGTACATGACGGGGTCTACTCATGCATGGCTTAGCTCTAGGGTAGGGTAGGGATGTAAGTCGCTCCGGCTAGTCTGAGTTCCGCCTAGCGTTGGGTAAGCTAGGGGCAGGACGGTAGGATGTGTCTGTAGGCGCTGGCTTGCCTTGCTTAGGTACTCCTGCTGGGTAGACTCTCTGAATTGGGCCTGTAGAGGATTGCATGAGCCTCACGTCCGAAGTTCCCGTACGGAAGGTTCGTCCGCTTCCGCTTCCACTAGGGCTGGGGCGGTTGGCCGAGCTTTGGTGCTTGTCACTGCTGTCTGGTCCGAGTTGCCCTCGATACTGGTAGGGTGATGGTCCTGAGTGCTGGTCACACCGAGGTAGGATAGTAGGGACATGGTATGCGCTGGGAGTATAAACAAGGGGATGGGTAGGGTAGGTGGCCTATCCTGTCAGGACAACCATTGGCTGCCGCTGCCAGCAATCACCGAGGGTCAGGTCCTTGGCCTCTACAAAAAAAAAAAAAAAAAAAAANAGGGTCAGGATCGGGATCGGGATGAGGGTCAGGATTGGGATCGGGATGAGGGTCAGGGTCGGGATCGGGATGAGGGTCAGGATCGGGATCGGGATCGGGATTAAACTTCCAGACTGATCCTTAAACCTATGCATGTGCACGGGTCTGCTCCTTGCCTCTTTCGTTGTTCGTGCGCTCCTTTTTTGTGCTCTCCTTTTTTATGCTCTCATGGATCCACAATGATCGTCTTCTTTCTGTGATGCGTCGTCATCTCGTCCAACAGTCTTGGAGAGTCGGATTGGGCTCCTTATCCCTCATGGATTGGGTTTGCTTATCCATCTGTAGAATGAATTGGCAGGGGACATTTTTATGTTGTTGTTGTCGTTGGTGTTGTTGTTGTTGTTTTTCTCCCCGTCTTCTTTTGTTACTCAAAGGTGGGGCAGAATGACCAAGTTTATGAACTTGTGATCTCTTGTTGAGTGAACAGGTCCATGTGTGGTATTGTTTATACTGTGTAGTATGCCCCATTTAGCCACCCACTACCTGTAGGCAGCTGTTATGAAAAGAAGTGTCAGTTGAGGAGTTGATGGAACTTAATTAATGCCCTTTGTGAATACGCAGATTGAACTTGACATACATTCCTTGAACTGTTCAGACAGTCAAAATGAAGGGAGCAATAAGACTGGTAATGTGGTCGAAGCCGCCCGCGCTATGGTGAGAATGATGCACATTGGTGGCTAAATTTTCCAAAAGACTTAGTGCAGTTTGCTCTCATCACAACCTTGAAACCCTTCTCTTTATATTTTGTGTTGTTGTCTAACTTTTTTCTCACCTTTTCCACCCCAGTCCAGTCTCAGTTCAAACTTCATCTCAGGTGCTTGCTTCATCAGTATCTCTTTTTTCTGGCCCTTAAGCTCCAAGCGGTTTCCATCCATGTGTTTCTTCTTGCGTCTCTCAGACTGGCGAACAGCTTGTCAGACTCAAGAGTACAATCAGATTCTCAGATACACTCACTTACTCTCAACTCCCAGATAAAAGGGTCTTTATGTTTCTATCTGTGGGGCTTTGCCAATTTATCATTCCTCTTTTCAACACCAAGTAGGTGGCAGTATTCCTTGCGCTCCGTATCCCCCAAAGGAACTCTCTCTCTCTCTCTCTCTCTCTCTCTCTCTCTCTCTCTCTCTCTCTCTCTCTC